AACCCCCCCCCTGCAGACTTCCTGTCCCTTAAAAGAAGAGCTCACGCTCAGTTTACCATGAAGCTGCCTTCCTCTCCAAATTGAGAGGGTAATCAAATCATCCAACCTGCCTAAACAAAATGCTATTTGATCTCTTTCTGAAGATTGAAGTATCATATATAGTTAATGCTGCATACCTCCAACAGGAGATATAATGATGGTGATACAGTTGTAAAATCAGAAGCTTATGCTCATATTGAAGTTCATCTGTTGGAAGGTAATGAGGATGGGTGTGGAGGAAAGCCAGTGGGAAAGGTAGAAGTACTTTTTTTGGACTGGATACCAGCCAGAAGTGTCTGGACACACTTTGTTGTGACTTGTTTGCTTTTTAATTCACACCAAAAAAACTGAATGTTTTCAAATTGTAATTCAGCACTCATTGGTGGCCTTGGCAGGGGCACCAGCTATTGAATGAGCCACGAAATCAAAGACTCTTTCCATATTAATTCCGTTTGTCTAGTGCCTTACCTCAAAGGGTCTTGAGATTGTGTGGTGATTGAGTTAAATCTCATAACACCTTGGTGAAAGAGGGAACAGTTTACCCTTACCCGGCAAATAAGGGACATGTGGCCCCAAGTGCTGTCTGTCTTTCCAGGATACCAGGAAGTCCCATAGTAGCCTTTGGCAAGTTACTTAACCAGATCTTCTTATGCCATATGTAAAGGGCGGGGGGATATTTCTCCCATTTAGAGATGTTAACACTGCCAAAGATTGTAAAGCCCCATAGAGTTTTTGGACGTAAAATGCTGTGGAAGGGAAGATTATTATTTCGAAGGTAGGATTTGCTGCCTACTGCTCAGTACCTTACAGAAGTAGTGGGTTGGGGGACAAGAAGCTCCCTATTGGGTTTAGGCTCCAGGGCATTTGCCTTTTTCTGATTCTACCTATTCCTTTCCCTCATAGTGCCCAACTCCTGCAGAGAGAGGGACTGTGGTATGGATATGCTGGTGTCTGCCTGGCTACCCTTCAGTCTTTGCACTCCATTGTTTCCTTCCCTTTTACCTCTCAGTCCCTGGCTTCTCTCTGATTTGCTGGCTCAAGAGCGTTCTCGGAGGAAGGCTGAATTCAGATCATTGCTGCCTCAGTTCAGGCAAAAAGGGAGATGGATGTGGTCACTCCCGATCTGAAACCTCAGTGCAGCACCACAGCTGGGTCTGACTTGGTTCTCAAGATCTCATCCAGATGAGAGCAGTGGTGCGTCCCTCAACCAGCATCCCCCGTCCGTTCCCAGTCTAGAGTTTCTTACGTATTTTGCCACAACCCTGTAAATCTGCCAGTTGTCTCGATTTTTAACCCCCAGAGCCCCTCTTGCTCCACTCGGAGAAAAACTCTTCAGAAGCTATCTGGGCTCTCCTATCTTAAGCTGAGCTGGGGATACAGCTAGGCCTTGGCACCGTGCACAGAAATTTAGCCCAGAGTGCCTGCTTGGTTCCTCAGTAACTGCATAAAATACCTAAGTGATAAGTGAGCCTCGTGCTAAAGCAGGGCTTTTGCTACTCTTCCAACCTTATACTTGCTTACTCTTTAGCAAAGTAGTCAGGACACTGTGACAGTGTGTCTGGGACCAGACTCTCACCCAGGAGACCCCTTCCAGACCTGTGGCCCTAATTCCAGGTGTCTGTGTACGGGACGTGTATCATTTCTGCTATTTATTGGCCCAAATGAATTTCATTTTTCTATGGAACAAAGCAACGATTTAAAGCTGCTTAATACAAATTCTAGTGCCTTTGGAAACCCCCCATGTCCATGGTCATTGTTCCCTGGTATTTCTGCAGCCCTTCTGCTGGTCTGCTTTCCTCTTGCCTTCTGGGATCTGTTCTTTAAAATAAAAAGCGGGGGGGAGAATACAAGAATGGCATTGAAATAATTGTCTCACCCCTTATTTAATGCTGGATGCATAGTGTTATGACATTGAAGGGCTCTAGATCATTTTAGGGGCAAAATAGTAACACCTAAAGCTGACTTCTCCACAAGAGGATGGTGAAAGGGATATGACCAGGGAAAGGCTGGGTGAGAACAGGCCTTTGCCTTACCAGGTAGAATTGAAGCCATCAATCTTACGGGTAGGCAATGCTTTTGATCTAGAGCGCTCCTTGCTTACAGAGAGAACAGCTTTAAGACAAAATGGCAGCCCGCGAGGCAGGGATCCTTCGGTCACTTCCCTCTAGGTTGGAGCGGGATTTACTAAGATTGTAAAGCCAAGACGCCAACAACCTGCTTGGCTTGCGGAAAAGACTGTCAGCATACTTACATAGTGAGGACTTTGCCATTCATTAGCAGACGCTTCCAAGAAGCACTGAAACGTCAACCAGTTCGATACTTGCCTACCTTTTCATCAGCCCCAAAAGATGTGGCAGTGACGCGTGGTGTGGGTACCTGCCATTTGGGTATGGCTGAGAGAGGCCGGCGGATCGCTTGCGGATCCTACAGCTGCCGCTGCCTTTGCTGAGCTGTCTGTGGGTAGAGGACTTGCAGGATCCCAGGCTGTTCTTTGGCATCTCGTAGATGTATTTATTTTGCTTTTTGTCTTAGTCTTTCTCAGTGATTTTAATCTTAGCTCAGAGTAGGGTATATTTAACCTTGCTCATTGAATGCAGAACTTGAATTTTGTTTTAATTTTAATGTTCTTTTTTTCAACTCCCTGCCATTCCCGAGTAGAACAGGCGACAGAACCGGAGAGGTTTGTTTACCAGACTTGGACTTCTTGCCAAATAGCATTTGTAGCTCTACTGGAAATTCAAAGAAAAATAAATGGTTAGGGTTTCCCCTGATCACTGCAATCTAGCATGGGAAATGAGATTTATTTTGTGTGTGACATTCCCTTTTAAAACATTAGAAATGCTTTTTTTTTTTCCTGCAGTTTTTTGTACATCTAGCTTAGCCTGTAACCCAGATGTCTAGCAGCTGGGTTTTTATTTGACTGATGCTTTTTTAGCTTAAGCGTTTTCCAAACTCAATTAAGGAACTTGAGGGACTCAATACTCAGGAACCCTAAAGCTGGTTGCATTTGTGTCATTTACTCTTGTGGGCTGAACACATGGCTGTTCTCGCAGCAGGGTGACTGCGTGGGAGGAGGGGTGGCTTGATCAGGTAAGGGGATGTGGTTCTGCCCTAAGTAATACACACTTGATTCATTATTTTGATTTTTTTTTTTAAATATTGGGGGACTGTTTCTCAAGAAAATTGATGTGTAAAAAAAATTTGATATTTAAAAAAATAAACAAATTTTATCATAATGTCGTCTGGGCAGTTTGTTCAATGCACCAATAAATTGTTGGGGTTTTTTGTTCTGAGATTTATCATCTCCACTGTCAGCCTCCCTGCTTTAAGTTTTTACCCCTGCTTCCTACCAAAGCACATGTGATTTCCTTGGAAAAAATATTTGTTTTGAACAGTAATATGATTAATATAAATTTAGAGGGTTAGAAAAATGGTTTATGAATAGCTGGAAATAGTGTAAATATTCTTCCTACTTGGATGTGGCATAATGTCAAACCACGTGTGCAAAGTGTTACATGCGGATTGGCTTCAGCTCGTTGCACAGACTCTATGACTGCATCCCTCCACCTCCCCATGCAAATAGCTGATTTCTAATCAGGTGGGAAGACGGTACATTTTGCAAATGTTAATCTTGTCTAAAACCTTTTAAAAAACATGTAGATGCATTTAGAAGCTCATCTTTAAAAGGTTGTTTTCATTTGAAGTAAGGGAGAAATAATCTCATTTTCATATAAAGAATACAAGAAAATGTACTTAATGTGTGGCTCATGATGCTTATCCTCTCTTTCCTACACGTGCAATTTTAAGCCTAAAACATATCACTTAAAAAAAACCCGCTCCCTGACTGGTGTGTTACCTTCCTGTAAAGGGGATCCGAGTATTCAATATCCAGTGGGGGCCTTAGGGTTGTTGGGGCCCCGGGCAAGAGGGTCATTTGGGGCCCCTTAGAGGCTTAATTTTGCCCTATAAGCAAGTCGGACATTTGCTGCAAAATGTTGGGGTCGGGTTTGCCCTCCCCTAAGGCCACCGCTGCAGTATCCAAGCTGCCACTGCTGTCATGTCCAAACGACTCAGTGGAGAAGCTACCTGGTCCAGTGGCTAAGGGCTGATCCACAGTACCAAGGTTTTAATCTCGTCTCTGCACCTGACCTGTCGGGTGCGTGACTTCAGGGAACTCGTCTCCCACGCCTGTGCCTGTTTTCTCTCCCACCTGATGCCTGTCTTAGTAAAAGAGTCCTTGCTCCAGTGTGTGTGGGGTGCCACTCACTGCCTGGGCCCTTGATTGCTACCGCAGTATAACAATACAGCTGCTGTTGGAAAGGGAGATGAAACGAAGGGGCTTATTCCTTGGTTCCAGCCTGGATCTTTTATTCCAAGCATTCACCAGCTTCTTTCCCGATCCATTCCCCCCCAGCCGGTTCTCCCACGGCCTCAGCAGACTTGTGAAACTGGCTGGGACAGTCTGGTAATTGCATTACGCAAATAGGGTTTGCCTCAAGAAGCTGGCACGCTTGCTCAATGATCTGTGCCAGAGCATCAGCCAGCCCACCGAGTTACCCTGCCAAGAAAATATTTACTGGTTAAGGAAAACAGCATAAACTAAACGCATTTGTGTTACTGAAAATGGAGAGTGAAATCAGTCATCAGCCCTCCTGGTTATCTAAGTGCCGTGGGCAGTAGTGCCAGTCCTGGAGCCGGGTTACCATAAACTGGAGCCCCAAAAGGCGTGCAATTGTCCAAACAAGAATAATGAGGACATGCTTTTTAAATAGCAGTTTGTCTTCTGTTTTAATGCCACCTTGCCCTGCTCCAATACGTGCGACAGCTAGAGGTGGGAAATCCATCCTTATGTACCCCAAACATGCAGGCACTGCACCAGTTC